CACTTCTCCGCATGGTGTGTAGGAGCTATTGCCAGCATGATCCAAAAGATCGAAAGCGAAACCCGGCAGAAATCGCTACGAGCATGGAAAGCTCAAAACAACGACGAAACCCCTTTTGCAGTCTTCGTGGCCAAAGTGGACGTCTCCGGAATCGCGATCGACCGACTCCAATCTAGAAACAAAACTACAAGGCAACGGACTAGGGATCTACAGCATCGACTACACCCGAGACTATTCCGGCGTCCTAGACCGCAAACAGCTTGTGCAATTCCTCTGTAGCCAACATGAATTTGTTGAAAAAGGCGATCTTGTGGAAGCTATCGATAGCGGAAAACCGACCATCCTGGACAACACCCACTCAGTCTGCAACCATGTTTGCACATGGGTAAAGACAACAAAGTCGGCAACTTCGAAGTCGTTTACAACGTCGTTTGCAACTTCGAAGCAGTTCTTCGACAAAACTGGCAAAGAGATTCGTTGGAAGAAAATACAGGTAGTGGCATCTCCTATGGGAAAGGAGCATCTGGACGAGCGCAGGAAGATAGAGGAAATAGAGAACATGTCGGAATACGAAGAATATCTAGAACTACAAAAGGCTAGGAAATCCATCGCCCAAAGACGCCCGCCATCCAGAAATGTGTAGACTTTCCAGAAGGGATCTATGCTATCCACAGGTTTGCAAAACAGATGTATCGTGGGACCAAATGAACTATCCTGTATCTACAAGCGCTGGACGAAAATGGAGCGCCAAAAGGCGATGTAGACATTCCGATGCCATGTGTCTCGGGACCAGAGATCGGACTAGCACCGATATATATATATATGTATGGGTGTTTATATAGCGCTATAGGCTATGTTTGACTATATGCTCAGTGTGCTTTTGGAGAGTACTGGGGAACCCTGATTTATCAGGCTACTCCTACGTGTCTCAGGATCGGGTTCGGTCTAGAACCGCCGAGCTTCGGCTCTGCGGATGCTCTGAACCCCGTGAGTAGCACCGACCTGGGCTTCGGCACTGGTAGGGCGCAGATTCCCGGCGCCGGTAGTTCAGGTCTCGGCCTGATGTCTATCGACGCCTTGACCAAGAAGCTATCGAGTGTGCCAGGTGTGTCGGTCACCTCGACGCTCCGAGGTCTGTCTGAGTGCTTGGGATACCTTGATTTATCAGGCTTCTCCCATGTGCCTCGGAACCGGGTTTCAGGCTCGTACAGTGGACAAGTCGATTTGAGCTTCGGCTCTTTTCGCTACTTTGAACTTAACACTGAGTAGGTTTGTCCCTGAGGCAAGTGCGAGATAGAATCGCGGCTGTGTTGCCTCAGGTGTTGTCCACGTCGAATACCCGAACCGTTGGCATCCGGGACAAGGCCTCACACTCTACCGTCAGTCTGCCGTTCTTTCACCTTAACAGCTCAACTGTATGCTCCACTCGGCCCATCTCTCAGCTCTGCTGAGGGAGCTGGTGGAAAGGGGAAAGAGCGCCGGTGATTTTTCATCGGCGACTCTGGGCGGCATCTGACGGAGGTCAACTCTCATCTGGCTAGGGACTGCATTGTAGCTGTGCCAGCCAAATGATGAGTGCGGTTATGGGCCTATGGCGCCTGGGACTGCTTCGAGGAATACGGAAGTCTGTCGAGCTTCTCGTTAATTCCTCAGGTGCCCAGGCACCGCAAACGTTATGTTGCCGACTGCAGGGGTTTACTGTATTCTGCCACAAACCCCGGTTGGAGCGACACACACCAGTGTCGGCTTCCCGGGAGACGGCGAAAATACTCCGTGCCGAGATCCAGTCTCTGCTGGGCAAGGCAACCAGCGAGGTGGTTTCCAATGGTCAGGAAAATGTGGGGTTTGACTCCATTTATTTCCTCGTTGCCATTAAGAACGGAATGTTCAGACCCATTCTCATCTGAGAGCTGAACAAGTTAATAGAGGTACTGTCCTTCAAGATGGAGACACCGCGCTCGGTGATCTCATCTGTCGAGACAGGGGATTGGCGCACGTCAATCGACCTTGAGGTCGCGTACCTCCTTGTTCCATTGCACCCTGATTTCAAGATTTACCTTCGGTTCTTGTTCGACGGGACGTGCTACCAGTTTCGTGTGCTCCCCTTAGGCTACATTACGGCGCCAAGGGTGTTCACCAAATTGAGGTTTATTACAGCCCAGATAGCCAGATCGCAGCTAGTGCCGGTGTTCTCACCCGTACCTAGGCGACTGGCTCATCGTGGTTTTAGAATAACAGTTGAGTCTGGGAACCTCAAGATCAGTGTTGGTCACTCTTACGAAACTGGGCCGAATTGTCAACCTCACGCAGTCAGATGGACAGACGTCAGGCGTCTCTCTGAGGGGCTCCCCCTGGAGACACCGTTGCTCTCAGTCCAGCCAGATACATCCCTCCCGGGTTGGGACGATGTTCTGGGCGACCTGCGATCTCTTGACAGACATTCCTCACTCAGCAGTCAGGTTGGTGTTCGGCCGCGACACACTACCTTTTCGACCAGACATTCTCGGAACAGGGCACTGGAATCCTTGGATTCACTGGGTGGCTTGGTCTCTGTCTAACCCCCAGACACCCGGAATTCCTGCAGCCGTTGCAGACACAATTCTGGCTTCGAGGCGGGATTTGACACCCGTTCAGTGTGTTGATAGGTGGGGCGCGCTGGTGTGCAGATAGGGGGATTTCATAATCCCTATTCTGCGGATTTAGTTCGGATATTGGAGTTACTATAACCTCGTTTGGTTGAGAGCCTTATGACCTCCACCATTCCCGGGTACTCCATGGCTATTTCCACGTTTCACACCTCGTTCGATGGTGCTCTGCCTAGGCAGCACCCTCTCATACAGCGCTTCGTAGCTGGCATGAACAGGGTTCGACCGCCTCGGCGGCCACCCAGCCCACCTTAAAATTGCCAATTATTCTCAATTGGCTGTCTGGCCCTGACTTTTCAAGTATATCGTCTCTCTCACTTCACTTGTTGACGTGGAAGACGGCTTTACTTGTGGTGGTGAGCTCTGGTAGAAGGGTCGGGTACATCCATGCGATACCCACTGACCTGACACTGACAGTATTTTATACTGATCATGTCCGTATTCGCCTCCCGGATACCTACCACTCTCAGTTCGATATTGCTTTCCACGTGACTGCTCATATCGAACTTCCACCCCTTACCCAGCCTTCCACACCGGGGACCAATCTTTCGATTGCTCACCCGTGACTGTAACAAACGAACGAAAGGGATCCGTACGGGTACCCATGTGTTCTGTTTGGTGGCGGGAAGACTGGGGAGTCTGCTAGCAAGCGGACTTTATCTCGTTGGCTTGTTTCCGTAATTGTTCGGTTACAATGCTAAGGTTTACCTTCCCCCGAGGGGTTGAAGGCAGACTGGGTAGGGCAGATGCCGCTTTGTTGGCAATACACAGCGGCACTGCTCAATGAAGAGATCGGTTCTGTCGCTCTTTGGAGCCGGCAGAACGCCTTCATTCGCCATTACCGACTTGACACGCATTCTAAGGATCGTGCTCGGTTCGGTCTTTCGGTTCTCTCCAGTGGAGAGTGTCCTGCCACCCTGACCAAGTTAGTAACTGGTCATTGGTATCGGTTCTGTGTTCAATGTCGATATGGTTCATATCACTACATCGTATAAGCCTTACCACCCTTTCGGGTTGGGTCGGGTTTGGGTGTACATACGTCCCTTACGTCCTCTTCACTTAAAGGCAAGAGGGCGGGGCGGGTTTGAACGCTATAACCAGTCATATGCTATTAACCCGTCTTGCGACGGAATTGGGTACGAACCCCCCACGGGTCACTGTTTGGTATGCCTCTCTTTGAGCCGCATGTCACGTGACCAGGTTAGTGTAATAGTGAGCCAACACATGTTCGGCTACGCTTTTCGCTATTCAGGGGATTTTTGTACGCTAACAGTTTTTCCCTCTTCCCGAGACTTCGGTATTTGGGAGTCTGTGTTAATCAGCACTTTGTGGGATGGTGGTCTACACTTACCCTCCTCACGCCGAGAGTGTTTGGTGGGGGTGTTTTATCCTGTTTTTCACTCGTACAATGCATGGCGTTTGTACTCGTTCGATTTCCTCAGAAAGTTTTTAGCAAGGCTAATAATTTCTCTGGGTTTTATCGAGGTCCCGGCAAGCCCTCTTCCAAACAGGAGGGGTGCATTCGAGCATTAGTTTGCAGTACTTATTAGCTCGACTCCTGGGTTATTGGCTTTTAAGCGTTTAAATTTTTACGCTTTCCCTACCCTTATACCTCTCGCCACGCTTCTCTGGTTGGGGCTATATTAGGGTTGGGAGTTGTTTCGGCATGTCCCCATACATTCCTTTCCATTGTAATGGTTGGGGGTGGGGTTTTATGTCATAATTGATTTGAGCCAATTGACGTATAAGCTTGGGCTCTCTAGTTCCCGCCCTAGCCACGCCCCTGCCTGATTGACATCAGCGGTCAGGTGGCTCGGTAAGTGTGTTTTTTCTATTTCCGTATCGGTTGTAGATTTCACTCCACCACGGGTTTAGTTGTTGCCAGACAGAATGCCACTCCCGTCTCAAATATCTTTGGGAGTCTGTCATATGCTTATATGTACCCCAAGGAGGACTTCTTCTGAAAAAGAATTATACAAACCTGTAGAGGTTATGAATTCTTTGAAGAAAGTCCTCCTTGGGGTACGGCCACCCGCCTCCCCTCATTCTGTCTGACACGTTCAGCATGAAAAGTGAGGTACGAGGTAGACGGCGAGAGTTACCTGCTCTTGGCTGTAGGGGGTCCGGTGGGGCCCTGTAGGGGTGGTCTTATCATTACATTCCTCTGTTTGTTGTGTTGTGAAATATGTGTAACTATGTGTATTGACATAAACATGATGAATGGGGAATGCTTTAATTCTGGTGACTTGATGTAGAAGTTTGGCTTCCGGCCTGATACATACATGGCTTAGGCTCCTCGCCGACACCCCAGTTGTAAGATGGTGTTTCTGTAAAATATACATGATGCATTTACAGGTTTACAACTTGACCAGCACGTGCAAGAGTCTGAAGACAGAGGTTATGAGATTGTCTGATGAACTTGGCAAGGAGCAAAAGATGCGAGGACAGCTTGATGAGAGATGTAGCGAGCTCACCCATCTGCGAGGTATGCTCAAAATGAATATCGATCTCGAGGACAGTGACATTCATGATGTTCAGGATGTCATTAACTGGTGTGTCTAACAAGACTTGTTTCCTTTCCACAGTGGGTCGGTGGGGTAGCCTAATGGTTAAAGCGTTGGCTCGTCACGCCGAAGACCCGGGTTCGAATCCCCACATGGGCACAATGTGTGAAGCCCATTTCTGGTGTTCCCCGTCCGTGATGTTGCTGGAATATTGCTAAAAGCGGCGTAAAACCAAACTCAGTCAGTCAGTCCTTTCCACTGTTGTATGGCTGGAATATTGTTCCGTGGCAATGTGACTTTTAACTCAGATATTTGTTGCTGTGGATATAGAGGACATCCATGTGATGTGTGGGCAGTGATCATCTGTTACCCTGGTTACAGTTGTGATGGTGTTGTGTTGCTTGATGTCACATGGGAATGGTTTACAGAAAGACACTTGAGGCACTCAATCATCATAACATCAATCATTAGTTTGTCTGATTAAGACATAAGTACTTGCAGCAGTGATGTGGCTGGAATATTGCTGACTCTACTAACATTCACCCACTCAGATTATCAGCATCTTAAGAACTGATTCTGAACACTTTGGTGGACTTGAAATAATAGTGCTATCTGTGTTTGGGTCCACAGAGAAACTGCAGTACCAGTACGAAACAGCAGAGGCTGAGAGGCAGGTGGCCACAACAGAGCTGAGTCGCTTCCAGAGCCAGTACCAGGAACTTATCTCCCAGGTGGAGAAGACACAGATACTCATTGACCAGAATAAGGTGAAATGTAGTTCTGAAAACTGGAAAGATTTTCTTTTGGCATTCCCAATCTAAGTAGAAGCAGATCATTGTTCTTACAAAAGGTCAAACGAAAATCTGAGGGATATCCCCATTGCAGGAGACTTCAGAGTAACTTTTAGAGCATCAGTTTTCCAGATCAGTAATGTGTATACTAATACTACAATGGCTGACACCTCATTGGGATTCCAGGGCAGTGTGGGGTGGTAGGGTAGCCTAGTGGTTAAAGTGTTGGCTCGTCACGCCGAAGACCCGGGTTCGATTCCCCACATGGGCACAATGTGCGAAGCCCATTTCTGGTGTCCCTGCCGTGATATTGCTGGAATATTGCTAAAAGCGGAGTAAAACTAATCTCAGTCAGTCAGTCCAGGGCAGTGTATGTCCCCAGTACCTCATGGGATACACTTCATTGGGATTCTAGGGCAGTGTAGGTCCCCAGTACCTCATGGGTGACACTTCATTGGGATTCTAGGGCAGTGTAGGTCCCCAGTACCTCATGGGTGACACTTCATTGGGATTCTAGGGCAGTGTAGGTCCCGAGTACCTCATGGGTGACACTTCATTGGGATTTCTAAGGCAGTGTAGGTCCCGAGTACCTCATGGGTGACACTTCATTGGGATTCTAGGGCAGTGTAGGTTCCCAGTACCTCTTCACTTCATTGGGATTCTAGGGCAGTGTAGGTCCCCAGTACCTCATGGGTGACACTTCATTGGGATTCTAGGGCAGTGTAGGTCCCGAGTACCTCATGGGTGACACTTCATTGGGATTCTAGGGCAGTGTAGGTCCCCAGTACCTCATGGGTGACACTTCATTGGGATTCTAGGGCAGTGTAGGTCCCCAGTACCTCATGGGTGACACTTCATTGGGATTCTAGGGCAGTGTAGGTCCCGAGTACCTCATGGATGACACTTCATTGGGTTTCAAGTACTCCATGCTTGATGTGAGAATCATGTGTTTATAATGATAAGATTGTTGGTAACTGTGTGACTGCCCAGACAGCATGGTAGACATGCTACTAGTGTTTGCTCTGTGTTGCAGATGAGAAGTCAGGAACTGGAGTGTGACAACCAGAGACTGACCAGCCAACTGGACACCACATCCAGTGAACTGGAACATCTCAGGACATTACACAAGAGAGAGGTGCAGGTACGGACTGATTACAGGACTTACATATAGGACACATGTTGGAAGGATGATAGGCAGTGGAAATGCCTTGTGGCTAAGGACGTGGCTTATCATACTGAAGCCATGGTTCAAATCCCCAAATGTACAAGTCAGTGTCCTCTGTTCCCATGTGTCACTTGTTTGCTGTTTAAACATGATATTTGAAAAAGTGTTGAAAACTATGCAATTTTAATGGGTCAGACAGACATCTGAAACCATACCCATGTCACTTTGTTCATTTTAAACTGAAACCATACCCATACACTTTGTTCATTTTAAAGGAAGACGCCGCCTCCGTGGTGTAGTGGTTAGAGAGTCCGCCTGGAAAGCGGCAGGTCGCGGGTTCGAACCCCGACCGCGTCATACCAAAAGACGTTAAAATATAGTACTTGGTGGTCCCTGCCAGGCTCTCGGCATTAATGGGTAAAACAAGGACTGGTCGGCTTGGAGTCAGTATAATATGTCTTAGTAGGGTATTCATGCTGCGGCATGGTATCTCAGTGGGCTAGCACTATAAAACCAGCTTAAGTCTGGGCTAGTACAAGCAGCCGCACATACACATATACACGCATGCACGTCGTCATATGAGCGAAATATTCTCAAGCACGACGTTAAACCCAATTTCACCTCACCTCACTTCTGATGAAAAAGAATTATACAAACCAGTAGAGGTTTTGAATTCTTTAAAGAAAGTCCTCCTTGGGGTACGGCCACCCGCCTCCCCTCATTCTGTCTGACACGTTCATCATGAAAAGTGAGATACGAGGTAGACGGCGAGAGTTACCTGCTCTTGGCTGTAGGGGTTCCGGTGGGGCCCTGTAGGGGTGGTCTCACAAGACGAAACGAGTTTTTTGTTTTGTAAATATTTTATTAAAAAATGTAGTTAAAACTGTCGTAGGATTTAAAATGTACATTTAAATGCTTATATGTACCCCAAGGAGGACTTTCTTCGAAGAATTCATAACCTCTAAAGATTTGTATAAATTTCACCTCACCTCACCTTTTAAAGGAAGACAATGGTGAAAATAGTAGGAAATATTCCATGTATGTTCTTGTTGAGTGGATGTTGGGGTGTCTGCCTGATAGTTTGATCACCTCCCACATTATGCCAATAGCCATTGATAGGTTACACTGTGTTTTCCTTGCCTGATTAAGCAAAACCCTCTATGATGTCTTGTCTTTAGCTTTATTGTAATCAGAATATCATACAGTGATTATATCTGCACAGGTGGAGAAGACCCATGTTGATGAGCGTCTGGCCCTGGAAGAGGAGGCTGTGAAACTTCGCAGTCGGGCACGAGAAGCTCAAGCTGAAAATGAAGACATGAAGAAAAAAATGTAAGAGCATGCATGATTTTTTCTTTTACGGATAAAGGCATCTTAGTTTGCTGTGAAGAGTTTCCTGAGATGTGCTAGAAACCCTGGCCTGGAGTCCCAGATTCACCCTGACTCTGTTTCTTGCTATGTTGACCCCATTCTTGTCAGTTTCATTGGCATGTGAAGGCCTGCATCATTCTTTTTCAGAAGAAGTCCTCCTTGGGGTACATATAAGCATTAAACTGTCCATTTTAAAAACCTACGACAGTTGTAACAATATTTCAATAAAATATTTTACCAAACAAAAACTTGTTATGTTTAGTGAGACCACCCCTACAGGGCCCCGCACAGGGCCCCCTACAGCCAAGAGCAGGTAACTCTGGCTGCGTACCTCGTACCTCACTTTTCATGCTGTCGTTGACCTATTCGGTTGTGCATGGTCCAGGAAGACACGTCTTTGCGAAACTACGATTGAGAATGAGTGAGAAAGAGTCAAATCCTGTATGTATGGTTCCTTCTTTTTCGCACGGGCGCTAGCTGGAATCTTCGTATGACTTTTTTCATTCATGATTTGTTGTAACCTTGCGGGCGTGTTCGCTGTCTCCAGCCATGTGGCAGGCAAGATGGCGGACCGCGGGGTCCTTTTGCTATCCCTTCTGCTGGCTTCCATAGCCTTGTAGTCGGGTTATAAGGGTGCTGATATTTCATTATGTATATTATGCTTGCCTAAATTCCTCTTTTTCAGCGGGTTTTTGGTAAGTTTTACTTGAGTGATTTTATGGAGTGTTCGTTTACGTGTCGCTCACATATGTTGCTCTTTGTCAGCTATGTACACAATTACGCTTCGCTATTGTGGCTTTATGCTAGTATTTAATAGCTTTGCTGTAGCTGTTAAATATAGCCCGTGCGTTGTATTTTTTCTGTTTTTATTGTGTGCATATTACATTATATCAAACAGTCCTTGCTATTAGTCATAGCGCGGTTCTGTTTTTTGCAGCCCAAGGGGCGCGTTACCTGTAGCGCTACATTATCTCCTCAGGATCGGCACCTTATATGTTTGCGTTGTTTGGCGGAGGAAGCCCATGATGAACAAGGTTGTACCATGTCAGGCTTTCTCCCAGCGTACTATAAAGTCCAGGCGTGCTGATATGATGTTTTACACGCCTTTACTTCAGGCGGGGGACATTTTGGGACAGGAGCCTCCTAAGGATAAAGAAAGTAAAAGCCTAAGAAAAGAAGGCTTCTGCTTAGTCTGTATCGGGGGATACAGCTCCTAAACGGGCGAAGGGTGCGGGGTCTTCGATCCCTTCACCATCCATCCCCTCCACATCGCAGGCACCTTCACCCCCTCATGTCCCAGTTTCAAACACGCTAACCTTTGAATTAATCTCGGATTTATTGCAGCAGCAAATGGTTTCGGTCCACTCTCTTGTGTCTGATGCGATGGCCGGTCTCCATCAGGAGATTGGCGTCCGGCCAGGTACGGAGGGGGTGTCCGGATCTATGGCGGGCAGTGTCCCCAACCTTAGCTCAGGCTCTGGTGTGGGGATTTCTGTCGGGGGTGTGTCGGCCCGAGTCTCGTCACGGTTGCCGGCCACCCCTCCGCTGTAGTGACTACCACCAGCCCAAGCCTTGGCTCTGGGACTGGTTCAGTAGTTGGTACCGGTTTTGCAGGCTCAGTCCCTGTAGTATCCGCTACATCATCGCATTTGGTCCGACCGCTTGCGCCGGCTTTGCCGGGCCATTCGGTGTTGGGATCATTATGCTCGGGCTCTTCCTCGTCACGCCACCGCGACTCAGTTTCGAGTCTTGGTTCGGGTGTGCCGGGCAACTTCGGCTCTGCTCTGTCCCTCTCTGTAGACCCCTCGGATGATCCCTCAGAGCTCTCTCTGGTTACAGAGACCTCGTCCTGGAGGATCGATTCGAGGAGGCTATGGAGGAGGATGAGGGTCGGGGAGGGTTGGGTACACCTTCGGTTCCACTCGGAGCGTCCCTGAGACAGGTACAGGAGCGTATTGCCTCGGTCCTGCCTCAGGTAGTTGTCGGTGCTGGCGCACCCGACCCTCAGGAGTTTCGCCTCCCAGGGGAGGCTTTTGCTCCAACCAAGGTGGCTGACACTAGGCTTCGTATATTACCTTCAGTTTTGTCTGAGGTTATAAACCCCCTCCTCTGTGGTACCAGGTCCAGATTCAATTTACCCAAACTGGACCGTTTGTACCTCATGGGGGAAGCTGGCCTATATAACCCCCCAGTGGTCGACGATTGTGTCTGCGCGTCAGTTGTCCTGGGGGGTTAAATCCGCTTATCGTTCCTTTGAAGAGCAGTACCGGAATGCGGTTCAGTGCCTTAAAGTAACGATACATTCCGCCTACATCTCGGTGTTGCAGAGGCAACTACTGGATGTGGGTGGGGCCGAGGAAGATTTGTCTCCCTCCAACTTGGCAAAACAATTGACGGAGGTCCAATCACATCTGGCGCGCGACTCTATCAGGTCGTCGGCTTGCCAAATGATGTCGGCGGTTATGGGTCTCCGTCGCCTGTGGCTTTCTATGGCGAGGTACTCTCCTGCCATGCAACAGGCTCTACTGGCGCTGCCGTTCCGGATGGGTTCTACCCTGTTCCCCGTGGCAGCTACAGTAGTCCGGGAGGCCGCGGAGGCTGTATCAACCTTCAAGGACACTAAGCCCTTGTTGGAACAGCCTCACATGTCTCGTGCGTGACCCCCGGTACTTACCTCCGCATATCCTTCTGCCGCGGCGAAGGAACCTGTTAAATGGGCTCAGCCATTGCAGTCGCGGAGGGTAAGGGCAGGGGAAGTCAGCCCCGGCTTCCCAGCTATAATTCCTCCGGAGCCCTTGTTGGTACCAGATCAACCAGTCAAAGTACTGCCAACCTCGGGTATCCATTGTCTCATGCCACATATCCCTGTGGGTGGTCGACGTTCTCTCTTCCTGTCGGAATGGGAAAAAGTCACTTCTAATCTCTGGGTCCTGTCCACGCTCAGGGAAGGCCACATGCCACAGTGGAAGCGAGACCCACCCCCTTCTCCGGGATCCGTTGCACTCCAGTGCCGGCTGCCCTAGAGAAGGCAGAGGTGCTCCGTGCCGAGGTCCAGTCATTACTGGACAAGGCAGCAATAGAGGTGGTTTCAGTGGACACTGGCAGGGAATTCATCCAGGGGGCTTCCCTTGGACATCCCGTCGCCAGATCTCTCGATTCAGACAGATGCCTCCCTCACAGGGTGGGGGGGTGTGCTGGGCGACCTGTCGGTCTCAGGCCTGTGGTCACAGAGCGAGGCGCGACTGCACATCAACGTGCCAGAATTGAGAGCAGTCAGGTTGGTGTTCGAACGACTTTGGGAGCAGGTTCGGGGCCGTGTGGTTCGTCTAGAGATGGACAACCAGACGGCGATGACCTATATCCTGAAGCAGGGCGGTACGGTTTCCCCGTCTCTCCTGCAGGAGGCGTGGCAGTTTCTGCTCTGGTGCGACCGGTTCGACATACGGGTGATGCCTGTTTATCTCCCAGGGGCAGACAACGTTCGAGCAGATGCACTTTCTCGGCGTATCCTGGCCCCGGACGAGTGGATGCTCAATCGGCAGATATTCGGGGCTATCTCCCAGTTGTTCGGATCGTTCCAGGTGGATCTGTTTGCTTCTGGGGGCACGAACCAGATTCCAGTGTTTTCGCTCGACTGGACGGGCAGGGTTCTGTGGGCGTTCCCACCACTACCCCTGATTCCCAAAGTCTTCTCGCAGCTTGCCACCCAACCAGCTCGACTTCTTGTGCTCCTTGGGCCTCTTTGGTCGGCTCAAAGCTGGTTTCCGGTACTACTCAGGTTTCTGGCTCAGCCTCCTGTACTATTACCCTTTCGACCGGACTTACTATCCCAGAACGGAGCGCCGCACCCGAATCCCAGGATTCAGTGGGTGGCCTGGCCTCTGTCCTGGAATCGCCTCCAAGCGAGCGGAATTCCTGCACCGGTTGCAGACACAATTCTGGCTTCACGGAGGGATTCGACAAACGTTCAATATGAGGATAGATGGGCCTGTTATATGCGCTGGTGTGTCGGCAGAGGGATTCTTGATCCCTTTTCTTCAACTGTAGTTGAAGTACTGGAGTTCTTACAGTCTTGGTTAGAAGCCGGCTTAGCCGCGTCTACTATCTGGGTCTACTCCACGGCAATCTCTGCCTTCCATATCCCTGCCGACGGTGCTCTCTTTGGACAGCACCCTCTGGTGCAGCGCTTTTTAGCAGGCGTGGACATAATCCGTCCGACTGTCCGATGGATTAGTCCCCCGTGGGACTTGTCAATCGTTCTTGATTGGATGTCCGGTCCTCTCTTTCACGATCTGTCGTCTCATTCACTCCAGCTGTTAAGTTGGAAGGCTTCCTTTCTTGTGGCGGTAACGTCTGGCAGGCGGGTAGGCGATATCCATGCGATGTCCGCGGATCCTGACAGAGTCAGTATTCGGTTGCCAGACTCTTACCGTCCTAAGGTCGCAGGCGCCTTTCATGTAACGGCGCCTATTGAACTGCCAGCTTTCATTCAGCCTCCATCGTCCGGTACCTCTCTTTGACGTGCTCACGTCTTAGATGTCCGTAAGACTCTCAAGGCTTATATCAAACGAACGGCTGCTCTCAGGAAAGATAAGCAGCTGTTCTGTTATGGCGGTGGTAAGGCTGGTCTTCCGGCGAACAAGCAGACCATATCTAGGTGGCTTGTCTCTGCCATTTGTATGAGTTACTCTCACAAAGGGTTAACTATCCCTCAGGGGTTAAAGGCTCATTCGATTAGGGCAGTGGCGACATCTAAGGCATACGCCGCGGCACTGCCCATTGAGGAGATCTGCTCAGCGGCTATCTGGATCCGACCGAGTACGTTCATCCGCCATTATCAACTGGACAAACACTCACGGGAGCGTGCTCGGTTTGGCCAGACAGTTCTCACCAGTGGGCAGGGTCGTGATTCTCTAGCCGAATGAGCCTTAGAAATCACGATTGCTTTTATCCTGGTGTTGGTATTATAACATTCCTCAATTTTTATCGGTGGCGGTATCACATTGGTGGTGGTTTTTACCGTTTTCTATTGACTATAGCGATTATCACACGCTATATTCACTGTTTTCATCCCTGCACCACGCTTCGCTGGTTTGGGTTTATGAATGATATATCTTGGACTCGTCCATACATTCCTTCCCATTTTGATGGTTGGGGGTGGGACTTACGTCCGTCATTACAAATTCCACCAATAGCCTATCGGCTAGGCTCCTTTTTTCCCTGCTTTGCCTGGCAGTCAGGTGACTAGGTAAGTGTATTTTCTCTCTCTGTCGCGGCTTCGGCTGTGCCTTCGACTGAACTAGGGGGTATGTTAGCCAGACAGAATACCGCTCCCGACTCAACATCGTTGGGAGTCTGTCTTATGCATATATGTACCCCAAGGAGGACTTCTTCTGAAAAAGAATTATACAAACCTGTAGAGGTTATGAATTCTTTGAAGAAAAAATCCTCCAGAAAGGTATGGCCCACCTCCCTCATTCTGTCTGACACGTTCAGCATGAAAAGTGAGATACGAGGTACGCAGCCAGAGTTACCTGCTCTTGGCTGTAGGGGGCCCTGTGCGGGGCCCTGTAGGGGTGGTCTCACTAAACATAACAAGTTTTTGTTTGGTAAAATATTTTATTGAAATATTGTTACAACTGTCGTAGGTTTTTAAAATGGACATTTTAATGCTTATATGTACCCCAAGGAGGACTTTACTTCAAAGACTTCATAACCTCTAGAGGTTTGTATAAATTTAGGCTTAGGATAATACAGCAGAATTAAATGTTCATCAGAGTTCAGAGATGTTGACCTGCATTACTTCAGAGAGATGCTGCAGAAAGAAATGAGTTCCACAAAGGACGAGATGATGAAGAAGGACGTGGAGTTCTCACAGGCGGCTGAGTGTCTGGAGAGAGAGCTGAACTCCCTCCGGACCCAGCTGCATGGCATGCAAGACGAGAAGCAGAACATCCTCCGGGACAAGGAGAACCTGCTGGAGGAGGTCAGTACATACAACCAAGCCAGAACTACGCTGCTAGAAGCTAATACATCAAAAGAATTTTCTCTTGATTGTTAACACTTTCTCACGTGTCCTCAGCAGAGGTGTTATCATATATTAAGGCCACGATAAGATACTTATCCCAATAATAAAGGTACAATACAATTTTTTCTTATCCTGACTCATGATCTTTTGCTTATCTCCCTTTCACTTTCGAATGGTAGTGGAACACTTGAATCCCTTGAAGTTCCCGAAGCGGACATAAAAATACACTCACCCACGAGTTACCTCCCTTTTGCCCTTTTCCCGTGCAAACAGTCATGTGACCAGCCTTACTTGTCACTCTCCTGATTTTCTGCCCATGTATCCTGATACTTATTGTTCATAAGTTCATATTCTCTCCCTTTTTGCAGATGAATCACATTGCATACAATAATGTACTGCCATATTGTTACACCACTTGTCTCTGAGTATGTCATGTGACAGTTTATCAAACCAAGTGAAGTTGAACACACCCACTTGCTGTAATGTCTGCTGATTGTGTTGTAGGTGAACCAGACCGTGGACACGTTGATGGAGGAGAGGGTGGTCTTACAGACAGACCTGGAGGAGACCAAAGTGGAACTGGACACATTATATGGGACACAAAGACAGCTGGAGAGAGAGAAGGCAGACCTCCTGGAGAGACTGTCTGGATACGAGCAGCAACAGGTGAGTCATGGACAGAAGGCTGGAGAGAGAAGGCAGACCTCCTGGAGAGGCTGTCTGGATACGAGCAGCAACAGGTGAGTCATGCACAGAAGGCTGGAGAGAGAGAGGCAGACCTCCTGGAGAGACTGTCTGGATACGAGCAGCAACAGGTGAGTCATGCACAGAAGGCTGGAGAGAGAAGGCAGACCTCCTGGAGAGACTGGATGAATATGAGCAGCAACAGGTGAGTCATGCACAGAAGGCTGGAGAGAGAAGGCAGACCTCCTGGAGAGACTGTCTGGATACGAGCAGCAACAGGTGAGTCATGGACAGAAGGCTGGAGAGAGAGAAGGCAGACCTCCTGGAGAGACTGTCTGGATACGAGCAGCAACAGGTGAGTCATGGACAGAAGGCTGGAGGAGAAGGCAGACCTCCTGGAGAGACTGGCTGAATATGGACAGCAACACGTGAATTCTGGCCTGATATTGCAAGAATATTGCAAACACAGCATAAAATTGTGCTCACTCACTCTTGGTTTTAGGCGCAAAATTATACTTAGGCGCCTGGACGTAAACTTCTCTGAAACATAATGGCCAATGATGCCAAAGTATATTCTCCCCTGCTTGTATTTTTTTTTTGTGAGAAAGGTTTCTGCTCTTGTAACCTCAGAAGTAGACTCAATAGCAAATGAGACTCATCCATAAAAAACTCAGTAAGTCTCTTCTGTTTGCCGCTGATGCAAGCATAGCCGAAAGCCAGTTTATTCTGAGAAGTGCTTAGGGTGTCCAGTTGTGTTATTTCGGTCATACTCAGAAAATATTTTATGCATAGCCCTTCAAGACCTATCAACAGTTACACTCATTTCTTGAAGTTGAGCCACAAGAAAGTCCACTCAACACTGAAGGAGATGATGGAGCAAAAGAACAAGCTGGCATATGAGAATGGACGTCTGCAGTCCCAGATACACCAGTTCAAAGATGACCTTGACCTTGCCACAAGAGGTCAGCTTGATGCAGGTCATCTCAAGAAACTGAATAATGCCCTCCAGGAGAAATACAGCAGTGTAAGTTGCCCAAATTACAATAATCTGACAAACCTTATAATTCTTTTTCAGAAGAAGTCCTTCTTGGGGTACATGTAAGCATTTAAATGTCCATTTTAAATCCTACGACAGTTGTAACTATATTTTTTAATAAAATATTTACAAAACAAAAAACTCGTTTTGTCTTGTGAGACCACCCCTACAGGGCCCCACCGGACCCCCTACAGCCAAGAGCAGGTAACTCTCACCGTCTACCTCGTACCTCACTTTTCATGCTGTCGTTCTGTTGAATAGACGTGCGTGGTGTTCGTTTCGAGTTTGCTGTCCTACCGTTACGATGAGTGTAAAAGAGTCTCAATCTGTATGTATGGTTCCTTTCTTTACGCACGGGCGTTAGATGGACTTCATATGTTGATATTCTCATTCATCTTTTGTTGTAACTTTGCCGTGGGTTCTCTGTTTTCCAGCCTTGTGGCAGGCAAAATGGCGGACCGAGCGATCGTGGTTTCCTTGCTATATGTTCTTGGTAGCTTGTAGTAGGGAGTTCATATATTATGTTTGCATATTATATGGTAGGCTTGCCTAAATTCTCTTTCTTTTCAGCGAATTTGTGGTAAGATGTGTTGAGTAATTTTGATAGTGTTCGTTTTGTATCACTCAACCTTACTCTATCACTAGTATGTACACGCAGGTGCGGCTAGCCTTTTTTCTGCTTTGCATTGTATGTTTAGTATTTAAATGGCTGTAGCTTGTAGCATTTAAATATCGCCCATGCGTGTTATTTATTGCTATTTACTTGTGTTTATATGTTTGCTGCTTCACAGTTCCTGCTAGTAACACTGGCATGGTTCTGTTTGTTGCAGTTTAAGCCCTGTGCGTTGTGCCGTGCACACTACCGCCACAGGATGATCATTAAGTGTGCCTCCAGTGTTTAGCCGAGGACGCTCACAACGATCAAGGATGTTCATAATAAACGCCCTTGCGTCAATATTCCTGTTACATTATGTTGTGTTATGTTACACATATACATATTTCATACGTTTACGCAGAACGTGGCTCATAGTGGCCGAGGTTGTGTTTTTTGTCTGGGTTCCTGCGCCTCACGCGCATTCTTTCTTTAGTTTTTCACTAATCTGCTTCAGGCAGGGGATAATATTTGATGAAAGGTTTCTAAGGAAATCCCTTTATCGTTCCCCCGCAAACAATGTTGCTGCCTTAAATATTGACTCAATTGCTTCACTATTTCAGCAACATATGCTGCGGCAGATGACTAATGTGAAGTCGATGATTGATAGTGCGATGTCCGGGCTCCGTCAGGAGCTCGGCTTGCAACGTGTTGATCTCGATGGTCCAGGTGTCGTCCGCGAAATCCCTGATTTTTTCTGACACGGTGCTGTCTGGGTTCCGCAAGGAGCTCAGCACGCCTGTCGTCGGGGTGGATCGGACGCATCTGGGGGGGTTGGCTCGGGGAATGCGCCTCCTCCCGTGGCAGCTTGATCCTGGCTTCGGCTCAGGTGATGATGTGCCTTCGGCGCCTTGTGGCGACCTAGCTTCGGGCTCAGGTTCGTCACAGGCGCCTGGCGCCGGCGATGCAGGTTTCACCCTGTCCGCGCCGGTGCCCTGACTGGCGGTCGCCTCGGCGCTGACCAGCTCGGGGACACCTCGGCGACGGAGCAGATCCCCGGCACTGTTAGCTGAGGTCTCGGCCTGATGTCTATCGATGCCCTGGCCAAGAGGCCGTTGAGTGTAATCACCTCGATGCACCGAGGTCTACCCGTGTACAACAGGGGAACCCTGCATTGTCAGGCTACTCCCAGGTGTTTCGGGATCGGGGTTCCAACTCGAACCGCCGACCCGAGCTATATATATGTATATATGTGTGTGTATATATATATATATATATATATATATGTATGTATGGGTATTTATATAGCGCTATAGGCTATGTTTGACTATATGCTCAGTGCGCTTTTGGAGAGTACTTGGGGAACCCTGATTTATCAGGCTATTCCTACGTGTCTCGGGATCGGGGTTCGGTTTAGAACCGCCGAGCTTCGGCTCCGCGGATATACTCTGAACCCCGTGAGTAGCACCGACCCAGGCTTCGGCACTGGTAGGGCGCAGATTCCTGGCGCCAGTAGTTCAGGTCTCGGCCTGATGTCTATCGACGTCTTGACCAAGATGCTATCGAGTGGTTCGGGTGTGTCGGTCACCTCGACACTCCGAGGTCTGTCTGAGTGCTTGGGAAACCTTGATTTGTAAAGCCTTCTCACATGTGCCTTGGAACCGGGTTTCAGGCTCGTACAGTGGACAAGTCTATTTGAGCTTCGGCTCATTTCGCTACTTTGAACTTACCACTGAGTAGGTTTGTCCCTGAGGCAAGTGCGAGATAGATAGGCTGTGTTGCCTCAGGTGTTGTCCATGTCGAATAGCCGAACCGTTGGAGTTCGCCTCCCGGAGGGAAGCCTGCTTCCAGCAAGGCATCCGGGACAAGGCCTCACACTCTACCGTCAGTCTGCCTTTCTTTCCCCTTAACAGCTCAACTCTGTATGCTCCACTCGGCGCATCTCTCAGCTCTGCTGAGGGAGCTGGTGGAAAGGGTTATGGGCCTATGATGCCCGGGACTGCTTCGAGGAATACGGAAGTCTGTCGAGCTTCTCGTTAATTCCTCAGGTGCCCAGGCACCAGCAAACGTTAAGTTGCCGACTGCTGGGGTTTACTGTATTCTGCCGCAAACCCCGGTCGGAGCGACACACACCAGTGTCGGCTTCCCGGGAGATGGCGAAAATACTCTGTGCCGAGATCCAGTCTCTGCTGGGCAAGGCAACCAGCGTGGTGGTTTCCAATGGTCAGGAAAATGTGGGGTTTGACTCCATTTATTTCCTCGTTGCCATTAAGAACGGAATGTTCAGACCCATTCTCATCTGAGAGCTGAACAAGTTAATAGAGGTACTGTCCTTCAAGATGGAGACACCGCACTCGGTGATCTCATCTGTCGAGGTCGCGTACCTCCTTGTTCCATTGCACCCTGTTTTCAAGATTTGCCTTCGGTTCTTGTTTGACGGGACGTGCTACCAGTTTCATGTGCTCCCCTTAGGCTACATTATGGCGCCAAGGGTCTTCACCAAATTAAGGTTTATTACAGCTCAGATAGCCAGATCGCAGTGCCGGTGTTGTCATCCGTACCTAGGTGACTGGCTCATCGTGGTTTTAGAATAACAGTTGAGTCTGGGGACCTCACGATCAGTGTTGGTCACTCTTACGAAACTGGGCCCAATTGTCAACCTCACGCAGTTAGATGGACAGACGTCAGGCGTCTCTCTGAGGGGCTCCCCCTGGAGACACCGTTGCTCTCAGTCCAGCCAGATACATCCCTACCGGGTTAGGGCGATGTTCTGGGCGACCTGCAGTCTCTTGACGACGAAGTCACAACCTGCACATCAATGTGCTGGAATTGACAGCAGTCAGGTTGGTGTTCGATCCCGCACGCCGGGATTCGAATTACCTTTTCGGCCAGACATTCTCACTCTGAACGGGGTGCCACACCCGAATCCTCTGATTCACTGGGTGGCTTGGCATCTGTCGGGTCTAACCCCCAGACACGCGGAATTCCTGCAGCCGTTGCAGACACAATTCTAGCTTCGAGGCGGGATTTGACACCCGTTGATAGGTGGGGCTCGCTGGTGTGCAGATAGGGGGATTTCATAATCCCTATTCTGCGGATTTAGTTCAGATATTGGAGTTACTATAACCTTGTTTGGTTGAGAGCCTTATGACCTCCACCATTCCCGGGTACTCCATGGCTATTTCCACGTTTCAACGTTCCACGCCTAGGCAGCACCCTCTCGTACATCGCTTCGTAGCTGGCATGAACAGGGTTCGACCGCCTCGGCAGCGACCCAGCCCACCTTAAAATTGCCAATTATTCTCAATTGGCTGTCTGGCCCTGACTTTTCAAGTATATCGTCTCTCTCACTTCACTTGTTGACGTGGAAGACGGCTTTACTTGTGGTGGTGAGCTCTGGTAGAAGGGTCGGGTACATCCATGCGATACCCACTGACCTGACACTGACAGTATTTTATACTGATCATGTCCGTATTCGCCTCACGGATACCTACCACTCTCAGTTCGATATTGCTTTCCACGTGACTGCTCATATCGAACTTCCATCCCTTACCCAGCCTTCCACACCGGGGACCAATCTTTCGATTGCTCACCCGTAACTGTTACGAACAAACGAACAAAAGGGATCCGTACGGGTACCCATGTGTTCTGTTTGGTGGCGGGAAGACTGGGGAGTCTGCTAGCAAGCGAACTTTATCTCGTTGGCTTGTTTCCGTAATTGTTCGTTTACAATGCTAAGGTTTACCTTCCCCCGAGGGGTTGAAGGCAGACTGGGTAGGGCAGATGCCGCTTTGTTGGCAATACACAGCGGCACTGCTCAATGAAGAGATCGGTTCTGTCGCTCTTTGGAGCCGGCAGAACACCTTCATTAGCTGGGTTTTATCGAGGTCCTGTCAAGCCCTCTTCCAAACAGGAGGGGTGCATTCGAGCATTTGTTTGCAGTACTTATTAGCTCGACTCCTGGGTTATTGGCTTTTTAGTGTTTAAATTTTTACGCTTTCCCTACCCTTATACCTCTCGCGACGCTTCTCTGGTTGGGGCTATATTAGGGTTGGGAGTTGTTTTGGCATGTCCCCATACATTCCTTTCCATTGTAATGGTTGGGGGTGGGGTTTTATGTCATAATTGATTTGAGCCAATTGACATATAAGCTTGGGCTCTCTAAGTTCACGCCCCCGTCTGATTGACATCAGCAGTCAGGTGGCTCGGTAAGTATTTTTCTATTTCCGTATCGGTTGTAGATTTCACTCTACCACGGGTTTAGTTGTTGCAAGACAGCATGCCACTCCCGTCTCAAATATCTTTGGGAGTCTGTCATATGCTTATATGTACCCCAAGGAGGACTTCTTCTGAAAAAGAATTATACAAACCTGTAGAGGTTATGAATTCTTTGAGCATGAAAAGTGAGATACGAGGTAGACGGTGAGAGTTACCTGCTCTTGGCTGTAGGGGGTCCGGTGGGGCCCTGTAGGGGTGGTCTCACAAGACAAAACGAGTTTTTTGTTTTGTAAATATTTTATTAAAAAATATAGTTACAACTGTCGTAGGATTTAAAATGGACATTTAAATGCTTATATGTACCCCAAGGAGGACTTTCTTCAAAGAATTCATAACCTCTACAGGTTTGTATATGTTGCAAGGGGGTGCGGTGGGGTAGCCTAGTGGTTAAAGCGTTGGCTCGTCACGCCGAAGACCCGGTTTGAATCCCCACATGGGTACATTGTGTGAAGCCCATTTCTGGTGTCCCCCGCTGTGATATTGCTGGAATATTGCTAAAAGCGGCGTAAAACCAAACTCAGTCAGTCAGTATAAGTTGCAAGGGGTAGAGCCAAAAGGATCAACATGTGTAGAATTACACTGATGAAAGTCCATCTCTGATATCTAGTGAATACCCAGCCACTATCTGCCTGGAGAGAGGAAGGTGGGGGATCTGACACTCTGCATGAAGGGGAGAAAGTAAGGAATCTTTGGAATGGAGCCTGAGTGGGGTAAAATGTGTCATGGGCTCTCCGTGGGTTGGCACTCTAATGCCATCATTAGCCGAGACTTGTACAATCAACGAGACATGTACATGGACGTCACAATGTGATAGTCAGTATATATAAGTACAATGATCTTGAACATGACATTATAGCCCATTTCACCTTTTTTATCTTCAGTGTGCTGGTTTATGCTTACATATTATAGCCTTTTTTTCAATTGGTCCTTTCATCAGGCAAATATGATTCACCTCTACAAAGCCATCACATTCATTACAAACATAACAAGTTGTCAACCATATCAACATATCAAGTACTGATTGATTTGTCATATTCCAACTGGGAATATTTGGTGTCTTTCTTTGACGTTGACCTAAATATCGTCCTGTGAGCATGTTGAGATACAATATAGAACAAACTTTATGGATAACGACTTCATTTCGATACAGATTCTTCTACCGTTGTCAAGCAACTGCAACTGCTTAACAACGGTACAAGAATGTGTATCGAAATGTCGCACTCACGAATAAAGAAGTTGTTATCCATAAAGTTTGTTCTATATTGCACTTCCCAACTTCTAAAACACCATTCGATTCCCCACATGGGCACAATGTGTTAAACCCATTTTTCTGGTGTCCCCCGCCGTGATATTGCTGGAATATTGCTAAAAGCGGCGTAAAACTAAACTCAGTCAGTCAGTCAGTCTAAAACACCACTCAAAGAAGTCATGTTGAGATAAGTCCATGTGTTGCAGGCCCAGAAGGAGGTGAGTGAGCTGAAGGTGGCCATCCAGTGTCTGGAGAACCAGCACCGTCTGTCCCACGAGCTGATCCAGCAGAAGGACCAACAGCTGCAGACGGTCATCGGCACCCGGGAACAGCTGGAGAAGGACATGTCCAAACTTGGAGCCCATGTGCAGGCCATGGACGATCGCGATAAACACAAGGTGGGCTTGGTATCTACAGCTACTAGGGGCGGTGGGGTAGTCCAGCGGTTAAAACATTCGTTCGTCACACCGAAGACCCGGGTTCGATTCCCCACATGGGTACATTGTGTGAAGCCCATTTCTGGTGTCCCTCGTCGTGATGTTGCTGGAATGTTGCTAAAAGCAGCGTAAAACTAAACTCACTCACTACAACAACTAGCTTCTCACATACAGGAGTTTCATTTGGTTGGATGGCTGTTTACAAGCATCACGTAATTGAAATTGTGTGCAAAATGACACTATTGAAGTCAGTTGTATGTCTTTAATGGTGTTTATCATAGTGGTGATTTGATTACCTAGATAATGGCTAATTTTGCTAGCAAAAGGTAGGTATAGAAGTATGGCCTTGTGATGTCCTATATTGGTTACACTTGATATCCTGGCTGTAACCTCTCATCAAGTTGATTAACTGGATTGATTATTTTAAATACCAGGGTGCCAGCTATCACAAGAACCTTGAATCTGCCAAGACTGTAAATCGTGAGATGGCCAATACCCTTGAGGCAGTGATGGCGTCACATTCTCAGCTACAGACTCTGGTGGAGAACCTACAGGTTGAGCTGGGGAAGAGAGACACGCAGATCATGCAGTTCCGCAGTCAGAAGTATGTACTCACTATTTGTTGCATGCATTAACAGTTATTAATATGTGAGGGGCGGTGGGGTAGCCTAGTGGTTAAAGCGTTGGCTCGTCAAGCCGAAGACCCGGGTTCGAATCCCCACATGGGCACAATGTGTTAAGCCCATTTCTGGTGTCCCCCGCCGTGATATTGCTGGAATATTGCTAAAAGCGGCGTAAAACCAAACTCAGTCAGTCAGTATTAATATGTGATGACCGTCTCCGTGGTGTAATGGTTAGAGTGTCCGCCTGGGAAGCGGAAGGTCGCGGGTTCGAATCCTGGCCGGTACAACAAGGACTGGTCGGCTCGGAGTCAGCATAACACGTCTGAGTTGGGTATTCATGCTTAACTGCGGGCATGGTATCTCAGTGAGCTAGCACTATAAAACCAGCTTGAGTCTCGGCTTGTACAAGCAGCCACACATACACATACATGCACGTCGTAATATGAGCGAAATATTCTCAAGCACGATGTATACCTATTTCACCTCACCTATTAATACTTGATTAGACAAGGAGCAGTCATTTAGATGTGATGGCTTTGCTTTGTCCAACAGAAAAGAGACAGTAAAATGTTTACTGAGTATATTGGTTGCTTTGGTGGCTTAAGTTTAGTAAGGATCATTTCGTTGCTATGGTAACAGGAACAAGGACCAGGAAGAGATGAGGTTAGAGATGAAGAACTTTGAAAGCAAGATGTCCTCCCTGCGTGAGGAGCTGAGGAAGGAGAGGGACAAATCCTTGAAGAAAAATTCCAAGGATCTAGGAGAGGTATGACTCAACTGTTACTGACCACAATCATTAACTCAAGTGTCCTGTTATAAAGTTGTATAAGGCTTGCACCAGTACTCATTGTCTTCTTCTCTACTTGGTTAAGTGACCGCCTCCGTGGTATAGTGGTTAGAGCGTCCGCCCGGAGAGCGGAAGGTCGCGGGTTTGATCCCCGACCGCGTCATACCCAAAAATGGTACTTGTAGGCAGTGTATGAATTAGCCTTAAGAACTCAATGACCAGGAGAGCTAGTATCACAAAAGACTAGGTCACATCACGCTGTACTAGCCATGTAAAGGTGTGGGATTTCCACGAGAACACACACTATAACCATCATATATCAGTCTGGTACTTGTTGGTCCCTGCCTGGCGCTCAGCATTAATGGGTACAACAAGGACTGGTCGGCTCAGAGTCAGTATAATGTGTCTGAGTGGGGTATTCATGCTTCACTGCGGCATGGTATCTCAGTGGGCTAGCACTATAAAACCAGCTTCAGTCTGGGCTAGTACAAGCAGCCGCACATACACATACACCCGCATGCACATCGTCATATGAGCGAAATATTCTCAAGTACGACGTTAAATCCAATTTCACCTCACCTCACTTGGTTAAGTGTGTTTAATGGTCCTTCGTAACTTGCAGTCTGTCTGTCTGAGGAGCGCTTTGATCTGTAGATACATCATACTAAAAGATTATAAAGATGCTACTCAGTGATTCCCTGCCAGGCCATTGGCATTCTGTAGATAACACAAGGACTGGTCTGCTCAGAGGCACTGTACTCGGTCAGTCTGTGAACCCCATTCCTTGTGTCCCCCAACGTGATATTGCTGGAATAATGCTATAAATGGCAAAATAAGCAACTTACTCTCTCAGTCTCTTTTTCTGTTGAGTTGATTCTGTGATTAAACCATCATTTCCTAGAGTGGCCTGAGGCATGAGTTCAATTTCTCTGCTTGGATGTGGTTTGTGAAGCCAGTTAAGGTGTCCTTTGCTGCGAATTTACTGGTATATTACTAAAAGCATTAACACTACTATTATCCACATTCATTCAACATTTCCTCCTTCAGATTAAGAAACAAAATGAAAGCTTATCATCTCGTAACATGGAACTAGTGAGGACAAATACAGAACTGCGACATCGGGTGAATGAGTCTGATCATACACACAAGGAACTTACACAGAAACTGGTGGATCAGAGACGCAAGACTGAGTACTTGAACAAGGCCAAAAAACAACTGGAGGAAAACCTGGCCAAGATGAAGGTAGGTCAAGGTCACATGTCAAGGTCACACTTTCTATTGAGTGGATTTTCATAACACTGTAGATGTTATTGATAAACAGTTGATTGAAAAGTTTGGTGTTGTATGCAGTGTATGAATTAGCCTTAAGAACTCAATGACCAGGAGAGCTAGTATCACAAAAGGCTAGGTCACATCACACTCTACTAGCCATGTAAAGGTGTGGGATTTCCACGAGAACACACACTATAACCATCATATAGCAGTCTAAGTAAACTTAGGCTCAGATTATTCGTTACACTGCTATACAAAACTATAGTCTAACGAAACCTAGTAGAAGGTCGCGTCAGCTAACCTTTTGACTGACCAATCAGAACACAGCTTACCAAATCGCGAAAGTTAACATTCGCTCTTACCGTTTGAACCTTTACCTCAAAAACTCGAACAATTCCGAATGATATTTTCCGCTCGATCACTTCCGAGTGATACACGCAATGCGTAAACAGTCGCTGAAAATAGCGTTTTTGTCAATATTCAAGGATGTTATCTTGCGAAAATATAAGCAAATAGTAACCATGTCATTAGAAACCCATAAGCGTATATACTGCAGGTCAAATATTTGTGTTTTATGCAGACTTTTGTTTATTGATAGATCAGTGTCAGTGACCAGGGAAGAGAAAATCCAAAAAACGTTTTGTAAGTCCCGCCAAACCCTAACAAGTAGTCGTTGTCTGATTGGTTCAATCCATTCGTCCGTCTCGCGTTTGATTGGACGGTCATAGGTCGCTCAAAGGTTAGCTGACGCGACCTTCTACTAGGTTTTGTTAGACGCAGTATAGCAGTGTAACGAATATTACTGAGCCTAAGTTTACTTAGACTGCATCCTATATGGTCCTATGTTGTCTTGACACATTAGCCAACATAGGGATATGTAGTTTCCCACCCTGCAGGACGTTTTACATCCTCGATAATCTCCAGGGTATACGTTACGATCACTCTCCACTATACCCTGGATGCATCCACGGCTTGGGGCGATGATTTTATTACCTCCCTTGGCTGGCTTTTTATCCAGTCAGGTGCCTACACTGGGAAGTTGAGCGTACCAATCACTACTCACTTTCGCGTCTTAAATTATCTAACCATTTAAACTTGGCAACACAACTGATGCAGAGGTACTCTGAAAGAAGTAGAAGGAGTTCTTTCATATATTCTTTTTAAAGTTTCAGATCTGTGAATTTGTCTTTATTATTTCCCCAAAAATCTGAGTGGCACTGCGAACAAATCTTTGCAACTGCGACCGCTATCTGTGTTGACACTGGCAAGCTCGGTTGTAACAGCAGCTTAGCTGATTGGCTACTGTGAGAATGCGGAGCCAGCCAAGGGAGGTAATAAAATCATCGCCCCGTGGATGCATCCAGGGTATAGTGGAGAGTGATCGTAACGTATACCCTGGAGATTATCGAGGATGGACGTTTTAAGAAGAGAGTAGGAACCCAGTTTAAATCTGCATGGATTTGGTCAAGAGAAAACCATCAAATTATAAATGGTCAAAGGCATTTGCACACTGTTTGCATTAATAGCTCATGCCAGTAGAAAAGACACACTTTGGATTTCCAACTGTAGTCAGTTTAGCTTCACCAAATTTTACTTGTCCAAATCATAAGTTGCTAGCAATTTGCTATCAGATCAGTGTCTATTTTAGAAAAGAAATTGTTGTATGAAATAAATGGTTTGTTTACCAGGATTGTGAGTTATGGTAATAGTAGTGTAGCCCGTGATAATGTCAGCAGGATTTCCAAAGATAGTCCTTGCTTTATTAACAACTGAATATTGTTCTTTTGATTATGTTATTTGTTTCACTTTTCCTTAAATGTGTGGAAATTATTTTAATGATAATAGTGACCAGTTTTATTTGACTATATCAGGTCTGTTTGGTCTTTCTACAGAGAAGTTGACCTAGTAAAACTAGTGAGCCGCCATCTTGTTCTCATGCACTTGGCATCTTTCTCTCAAACCTGGAGGTTGTGGCTTTACTTGTACTCTCGATCGCCTTGTTTAATGACAGAAGGAGGCAGTGGTTAATTATTGACTCACTGACCCACTCATCACACTGATAGCCAAGATTTAATTCCCCACATGGGCACAGTGTGCATGAAGCCAGTTCTTGGTGACCCATCCTTCAGGTGGCTGGTAATGTACTGAACTCAGCATAATCTTACTCACTCACCTAATTAAGCTTTTTAAGCCCATATTAAAAACAATTCAGGAATGTTTGAATTAAAGTTGAATGTATATTGTCTTTACACAGTGATTCCCAATTTTGAAAGTGTTTTTGTACAGTAAACTTTGTTTATAATGAACACGCATATTTATAACGAACTGAATGAAAAAATAACTATTTTTCCTTATCCTGACTCATGCTTATTGCTTGTCTTCTTCTTCTTGCGAACATAGTGGAACATGTGTATCTCCCAATTGAAGTTGCCTTCAATAAAAAATCACTAATTAGTACTCACCACGAGTTACCTCCCTTCCACAAGCTCGGGAACGAGGGCGCCACCTCAACCCATGTGCCTCACTCTCTCCTTCTTCGCCCAGTGAGCTGGACGTGAGAGCACCTGTGTCTCCCGACACACTATATCCTTTATTTATATTTAGTTTAGTACCTCTTATATTCAGTTATAGAGGTGTAACTAGTATCCTTATTCAACTTGCATTGATTATTAGTCGTGTTTCTGCTGTTTTATTCACGGTTCGCCGTGTTTGTTCAGCAGTTTACGCTAATGAGAATCTGCACAGGTTGTAAACTACGTTATTCCGCTACCGATCCACATTTAAAATGCCCTAGTTGCATTACTCCATGTTCTATTGTTTCTCGTTGTAAATTATGTATTAATTTACCAATTTCTGCCTTTGATAAATATTTATGTTCCGTTTTGAGACGGAAGGCAGATAAATCTCGCAAACAATCTTCAGTCATGGCTAATAGATCGGAAGCTAATATACCCTGTCAACTGTTGACTGACGACCCGCCACCGGCTGGTGGCCTGCCTGAGTTTCCCTCGGGGGATAAGCGTGGGACACAGTCCGCTATGTCCAAGAAGCAACCTGCATCTCAAGACATTCCGTCTTCACAGTCTAAGACTAGGAAAGCGTCCACATCATCTCAACGTACGCTTCCAACCCCCAGGTCCACAGCTTCGTCAAAAGGGAAATCTACGAAAGCTACAAATAATTTTGCCTCCGATATTCTACCTGTCTCAGAATTATGTTTATATGATGATGACATTCCGATTATCATTCCAGATGTACGTCATAAGAAACGTCCAGTATCTGCTACCATCACTACAGCGCAGATCAACACGCAACCAGAGATGCCTACGCTGACGCCGGAGTTTATGATTGAGGGTCCCGTCACTTTCACAGAGAGGCCACCCTCAACGCCAGCGCAGACCGTCCCAGACGACCTGGTCAACCAAATCATGAGACTGATGGAGGACCGTTACGGTTTACAGAGGCCCCAGAGCCCAACCCATAATAAGTCATACAGGGCCCCAGAGCCCGCCTTGGCTTCGCGTAGGGCCCCAGAGCCCACAAACGCGCCTCCGCGAAGGGCAACCCAGCCCGTAGCGATCACTTCGCAAAGGAAGTCCCAGGCCGCCTCTGCGAAGGAGCTAGATCCTCTCCAGTTGCGAGGGACATCGCGGAAAAGGAGCGCTTCGCCGAGCCCACACCCTGTAGAACACAGACGTCGTTCGCGGAGCAAGCGCTCATATGTCGATTTGGACACTGACTCGATACATTCGCGAAGGTCGCGAAGGCTTAGTGGGTTCAAATCTACCTCGCCCAGAAGATCTAGAAGAGCTTCGCGAAGTCCCCAGCGTTCACCGAGGATGTCTCCTCCAAGGTCTCCTTACACTAGCCACTCGTCAGTCCGTTCACCACAGTCCTCTCAAAGATCTTCCTACAGATCTAGGACTCCGACATGTGACCCTACGTCAGAAGAGGAAGAAGGTATCATTTTCTCAGATGCTAAGATTAGATACTGGATGGTGAATGAGTTACAACTTGCTTCCCCATTGAAGAACGAGAATTCAACTCAGACTTACCTGATGAAGGATGATGATGTAGACAATATCACCTTACCTCCTATTGACCCGATTGCAGCGGTACCAGCTAATCTGGATACAGCCTGTTCCAAATCTTCGAAAGTCCAATCTACACATTTCCCGGTCTTCAATGCCAAGAAATTTGCTGGACACAATATGGACCCCTTTTTCAAGGCCCAGGATATTGATGACAACTTTAAATTAATCAGTGATGCCAAGTCCAGAAGTTACAGAGTAGACGATCGCAAATTGGCCCAATTAGATACCATCTCCAGGAGAATGTTCTTTGGATTGAATAGATCTAGAACTATTAATGAAACTCTTATCACCAAGTTCAAGAATTCTACAGAGGAGGAAGATAGAATGATCTACTCAGCTCTACTCATGCAGAAAAGAGACCACCAATTTCTTACAGAGCACCTGTCAGCGCTTACTGAAACTACTACCATGGCTCGTCGGCAAGGGTTACTAGCCTCCTGCTCTTGGGATAAGCAATTCACAGAATCTCTATACTCAGCTCCATGGTCATCGCCCTTACTGTTTGGTGGCAACATAGACAAGGTCTCCAAAGAAGTATCTAAAGACTCGAGAGAGGTACTTATGATCAGATCCATGGATACCTTAGCGAACGTCATTAAACAGTCAGCACAGAGATACTCGGGCAAGTCTAAGTTTTCGGGGCTACAGAAAGCAAGGGACAAGAAATTAGCCGCAGCTAAAGATCCCAAGGATTCTTTTCGTCGCCCATACAGCAAATTTAGGGGATGATCAGCTAGAGGCAGATCATCCAGAGGTGGCCGTGGATTTAGACGATGAAATTCAGGTTCGGAACGACTGGAGTCTTCCACCCCCAGCCGTTCCAGTACAACCTTCTCAAGTGGGTGGACGCCCTTCAGCTGCACTGGGAAAACTGGG